TTCCAAAATTTCGATCTTCGAGATCTTCCGTTCGAAATTTAAAATTTCTCTTTCCTTTCTATCTTCCCAAAAATTTAAAATTTTCCAAAATTTGGATCTTCGAGATCTTCCGTTCGAAATTTAAAATTCCTTTTTCCATCCTCCCAAAAATTTAAAATTTTCCAAAATTTGGATCTTCGAGATCTTCCGTTCGAAATTTAAAATTCCTTTCTCCATCCTCCCAAAAATTTAAAATTTTCCAAAATTTGGATCTTCCGTTCAATTTAAAATATTTCCACTAACAAGAAATTTACGAATTTACATTTCGAACGACGACGATTTTATCGAATATCCCTTCAATTCTGATAAAACCAATCGACGAAAGAAACGTGATCGTTGCACAACACTTGCGTTACATTATGGCGTGCCGGCTATAAATAAGGCTGGAAGTGAATTTTCCATCGGCCTTCGAGCCTCCGTCCTAGGTTATCCGCGTTCTTCGACGGCCAATGTATAAGTCTCAGGCCACCGATGATGATGATGATGATGATTCGTCGCCGACCTACGGCAACCCGCTCGCATGTACGCTCCTATTCCGCACGTGACACGAGCTGGAACTCGGCTGGCAAGGCCGAGCTCTCCACTTTGGCATCGTTTCTGCCGCGTGATGCTTCCTGTTTGTTCGTCGATACGTCTTCGAACGATTATACCCCACCTTTCCCTTTCCCTTCTCCACCTCTCCTCCTCGCACACTCCGATATCTCGCTCGAGACGTGACGAGTGGAAGATTTAAAGATTCGAAAACGAATAGTTAATTTTCTCCACGATTTCTTTTCCTTTCCTTTCTTTTCTTTTCTTTCGAATTATTTAATTATAAAAGAGACGCACAACACAATTTTTACTCAAACTGAACAAGAATTCGATTAAAGATTAATTTTACTAGTGATTTCCAGGCTTGCCAATATTTTTACGTTGCATTTCACAGGCTCGTTTAGAATTTCGATAGGAGCAAGCATGTGTAACGGATTCGAGGCAGGATATCGAAAGGAGAGGTTATGTTTCGCTCCTCTCTTAATATTTATCGCGCTTATGAATGATACGTTTCAAAACGATTACCGGGTATACTAAGGATTGACCTTGAGGCAAGCTCGGCCTCGAACGGCGGATTCAGTGTGAATATGGAGTAACTCTTTCTGATGCCTTCTTTCCGTAACGCGCGGATTTTTCTTCTACGAAAAATATTCGAAACGAAACGATCGATTCAACAAAAATTCAAACGTGTATAGATCTCTTGCAAAAGGAAAAAAAAAAAAAAAGGAAAAAATATTCTCCGTGAAAGAAAGAAAAGAAATTGGAAAGAGAGAGAGAGATATATATAATCGACGACGTACGACGGGAATTATGATCGGGTTCGGGCCAGACGGAAAAAATTGGCGGCCATGGTGGATTGGATCAGGACGAAGGACACCTAGTCGCGCTCCTGTCTTTTATTTCTCCCGTGGAAACCTTGCCTTGGACGATCTCTCGATCCTTCTACCAACGAGGATCGACGGCTCGACGATCGATGATCGAATCGATTTTATAATATCACGTTCCCTATCTTCTCCCTCCTCCCCCCTCCCTTCAGAGTTTTCAGTCTTTTTTTTTTTTTTTTTTTCTTTTGCAATGAATTTTAATTCGAAGTTCTTGGGGATGATGTAAACTTGCGATCGACTCGATTCGACGAGATTCGATTCTCTGCGAAAGTCAGAAGATGTTATTCCTCGATATATGTCTACGAATGTTATGAAATTGTTTCCAAAACTGATAAAAAAAAAAATGTATAAATATAGACGAAGAGAAATTCTTGAACAAAGAAGATAAAAAAGAAACGGGCGATATTTTTAGTGGGATTAAAAAAAATTAACCGTCTCGACGATACGTTATCTGATACAGAAGTAAAAAAAGAAAGAAAAAAAGGAAAAAAAACTGTACTTTGACTTTGAGGAAAGAATTATTAATTCCAGGCAAAATATAAATATTATTTTATATAATTATCCGAGTTAAGAAAGGGAGATAAGATTTCAGATTTTTCTTGAATGAATTATTTTACTTTTTCTTTCTTTCTTTCTTTTAGAAAAATAAACGTTTTAAAATTTTATTATACAGAGATTAGAAATTTTTCAGAACGAAAGTTACATGAATTCTTCAATAAATAATATTTTCCAATTTCATACTTTTGTTTTTTCAATGCCAATGATTGTAATGGATTTTCTAATGTTATATGGTTTTCTTAATTCTTAGCACTTTCTTAAGCGTCTCTTACTTCAAAAAAATTAATACTTAATACTTATTTTGCCTCATGCTATTGCACCATGTGACGTCGATTTCAAATTAAATTTCATTTTCATTGCATTGAACATTGAATTGAAACATTGAATATCAGGACATTAAACATTGGAATATTGACATTTTAACATTGAATATTTTAACATTGGACATTGGAACATTG